GAGGGCGGTCTTCTGGGTCCTGTGCCCCAAATGGCTGTATCACAGATGCTGTGGGAGGGTGGGGGGTGGGGTGGGCAGCACCTGACCCTGTCTCAGCCCCGCACTGTCCCCCCACCTCAGGCAGCAGGAAGCCCCCGACCTCTTCCAGTGGCTCTGCTCAGATTCCCTGAAGCTCTGCTGCCCCTCAGGCACCTTCGGGCCCTCCTGCCTTCGTGAGTTTTTCCAGGTCCTCTTGGGGGCTGGAAGGGAACTGCTGGGGCCAGGGGGCCAGTCGTGGCCCTGCCCCTGGCTGGCTCTGTGAGCTCAGGCTCCTCAGATCACTTCTCTGGACCTCTCTTCTCACCTGCCTCACAGAGCTGGTTGGTGAGATGAGCAAATCAATGGGGAATGACTCTGAAAAGAGATACGGGGCTAGACAGAGTCAGATGGGACCATGGTTTCTATCATGTATTTGAGAAATCCTCTCAGCCCCAGCCCCACATTTCCCATGCCTGGACTGAGGGATTAAGGTATGACCTTCTTAGGGACAGGCCTTGAAGGCCCTGCTGTCACCAGTTTTTTTTCCACACAGTCCTGAGACAGGAGCTGAACTTACTACCAGCCCCTTTTAGAAAAATCTCTCTTGCAGCTGCACATATAAAGAGTTAGCAACAAAGATGAGCAATGCAGTCTTCCTAAAAGAAAAGATTTGTGATTAACCTAACCATTCCACAATGGAGTGGTTAAGTAAATTTCATAAAGTTTTATGACAGAATATTATGGCATTGTTAAAATGGTTTCCTCTCCAAAAACGTTTACTGACATGGGGGAAAATACTCTGTACATAAGATGTTGTATTTATGATCCCACCTGGTTCGGTGTCTGCCCACAGCCTGTCCTGGGGGTGCGGAGCGGCCCTGCGGTGGCTACGGCCATTGTGAAGGGGAAGGGACTCGAGGGGGCAGCGGACACTGTGACTGCCAAGCTGGCTACGGGGGTGAGGCCTGTGGCCAGTGCGGCCTCGGCTACTTTGAGGCGGAGCGCAACGCCAGCCATCTGGTATGTTCGGGTAGGTAGCCCAGAGGCGCAGGGCCGGGCATGGGTGAGTGGGATGCCTGTGTGCCCACCCTCATACTTCCCCCATTGCGCCAGCTTGTTTTGGCCCCTGTGCCCGCTGCTCAGGACCCGAGGAGTCACACTGTTTGCAGTGCAAGAAGGGCTGGGCCCTGCATCACCTCAAGTGTGTAGGTGAGTGGCACCCTGTCTGGGAGGGCAGGCAAGGGCTTGGTGCCCCATCAACACACATATCTCTAGGCTCGACCAGTCCAGTCTCCATCTTCTTAGAGAAATATCAACCTGGGTGGAAAAGCGGGAAAGTAACCAGGCACTTTCAGTAGAGACCAACTGTTGTACAGCGGGAAATGTGTCTCATCCAGTTTGGTGGTGGTGGGGAATCAGGAAAGGCCTCTTGGAGGAGGTGTCAGCTTGGGTCTGGTCTTGAAGATTGGAGAAGGGTTAGCCAGGGGAATGAGGATACGGAACTTGGGGTCAGGAAACCTGTGTTCGAGACTTAGTTTGGTCCCTGTCTCATCATTTAGATAGACGAGGGTAAAGGTTAAGCTGCTGTAACAGAAAGATCCCCAAAGACTGTGGCTTAGTGAATATAGAGGTTTATTTTGATCTCATATCAGTCTTGAAGCCAGTGGTCCAGGCTAGCAGACCGCTTATCACGGTCATTAGGACCTGGATTCCTTCTGTTTTCCTGTGCAGTCCTCCTCTGAGGCTGGATCATGGGCACCTCTTTGTCTCACCACCTGGCACTGAAGAGGTGAGGTAGAGAACAAAGGGCACAGAGCATCTAAGTCCATTGTTTTATGGCCAAGTGAACAGTGCAGCATGTCACTTTTGTCTGCATCCCGCTAGCAAAAAACTCGGTCCCACAGCCACAGTTAGCCACTAAGTTGAAAACCAGTAGTCTCTAGTTGGCCAGCCCGAGTCCAGCTGCACCCCTGTGTCTGTGGTGGCGGACAGCCTGCTGTCTCAGCCACACTCTTTGAGCCCGGGCAGGTCCTTTCCCCCCACCCTGGCCTCAGCTCCCCTGTGGGTGAAATGGGGTTGAAGTCCCCACTCTGCCGGCCTCTTGGCAGACATTGACGAATGCGGCACGGAGCGAGCCAGCTGTGGGGCCGACCAGTTCTGTGTGAACACGGAGGGCTCCTACGAGTGCCGGGGTGAGTGTCTGCCCCTGTCTTCTGGGGACAGCTGTGGGGGGGTGGGCGGGGCTGCCTGACGCCTTTGCCCACAAACCGCTGCCTTCCCAGGCGCCCCAACCCCTCCACCCTAGGTCCCTTCTGGAGCAGCGCTCCCCCAGGCCCACGGGCAGCTCGCCCTCATGTCTCTCCCTCCAGACTGTGCCAAGGCCTGCCTGGGCTGCATGGGGGCGGGACCCGGCCGCTGTAAGAAGTGTAGCCCTGGCTACCAGCAGGTGGGCTCCAAGTGTCTCGGTGAGTGTCCTGCCACCCACGAGCGCCTTGCCCACCACGAATCGACAGGGGCTGGACTGTGGACGGGGTGTGGGAAGGAAGGGCGGAATGTTGCCTGGGCCAGGGCAGCGGGGTGTCAGGATGTGAGTGAGATGGGACCCTGGCGGTCAGGGCTCTGAGCCCTCCTTGCCCCCCTTCAAGATGTGGACGAGTGCGAGACGGCGGTGTGCCCGGGAGAGAACCAGCAATGTGAGAATGCCGAGGGCAGTTACCGCTGCGTCTGTGCCGACGGCTACAAACAAATGGAAGGCATCTGTGTGAAGGAGCAGATCCCAGGTGAGCCCCAGGAGCCTGGGGAGGGGAGTTTCCCATACAGGAGGAGGGCCGGCAAGCCCCTCACCTGGGCAGCTGCAGACCTTCCCTTCCCCACCCCTTCACGAGGCTGCCCTGGCACAAGAACCCCACCTCCCAGGCTGGCCTTTGGTGGCCTCACCCTTCCCAGGGTAGAAAGGAAATCTGACTTGGCATCAAATCATTCTGCTTCCCCAAGCCTCTTTCCCCATCTGTCCTTGCCCAGCTGCTGAGGGCTGTTGTAAGCTGTGGGTGTGATGAGACGAAGGACAATCAGAGTGATGGTGATAGTGACCACTTCCATGGTCTCGAACTACATGTCACATGCTGTTCCAGGCATGTTGTACATATTGACTGATTTCACCCCTAAAACAAACCCCATGTGATAGGTCTTATTCTCATCCCCACTCTGTGTAGTGGAAACAGGGGACACAGAGATGAAACAGCTCACCCAGGGCCCCAAGGTAAGCAGGTGGCAGAGCTGGGTGTCAAATCCAGGTGCTCTGACTCTGGAGCCGGGCTTGTACACATGCTCTGACATGACTGTCTCACATGGCCTTGGGCAGACCTCTCTGCACCTCAGTTTTCCATTTAGTGAAACATAGATAATAGCCCATCTGGGAGTTGTTCTCAGCAGTGAATGACGCCGTGTGCTGGCGTGCCCAGCGGGCATGTATGTGGCAGCGATGATCAGGCATGTAGGAGGCTCCAGAAAGAGGAAATGAGTGACGGGCGCTTCTCTTGCTCAGAGTCAGCAGGCTTCTTCTCGGAGATGACGGAGGACGAGCTGGTGGTGCTGCAGCAGATGTTCTTTGGTGTCATCATCTGCGCACTGGCCACACTGGCCGCCAAAGGCGACTTGGTCTTTACCGCCATCTTCATTGGAGCTGTGGCAGCCATGACTGGCTATTGGTTGTCAGAGCGCAGTGACCGTGTGCTGGAGGGCTTCATCAAGGGCAGATAATCGCTGCCACACCTGCATCATCTCCTCCCACCCAGGCTGCCCCCGAGGTCGGGACTCTCCCATCTGGACACTTGAGGCACTTGCTTTATTTCTGAGAGTGGGGTAAGCACCCCCTCCCCACTTTATAGAGCAGCCCAGACACTAGGCCCCTGGGGTGAACAAGTAGCCCCAAGGGCAGGTGCCTTGAGATCTTGACCTTGGGGCAGTGGGCCGGCTTCACAGTGTGTGAATTTTTTTTAAACAGTGTCTCCTCGTTGTGGCTGCTGGTGAGCTTTGGCCCTTGCCCAGGGTGGGGTTGGGGGAAGGTGTCCCTGCAGGGGTGGGCCCTTCACAGCCCCCTCCTGCCAGCTGCATGCTGCCAGCTCCTGTTCTGTACTCACCCCCCTGCCCCTCAGCCACTGATTTATTTATTCATCTCAGGAAATAAAGAAAGGTCTTAGAAAATGGAGAAGCTTGTCTTCCTACCTGTTCCCACCTGCCATGGGTTGGCTTAAGCTACTGAGAGCCCTCCACCCTTGGGGAAATTTCCTAAAACCCTGGGAAACTGAGGGCTTTCTTGATGGGAGGAGTAGAAGGCAAAGGAGAGTCTTGGCCCTGAAGTATGTTAAAGAGGAAGGGGGATGGCGGAACCAAAGGAATGGAACTTTCTCGGTTCAGTACTACCTATCATTTGCCAAAGGACCCTGACAAATGACTCTTCTATAAAATGGGCATGATAATGCTTCCCATTCAGGCTTAATGTGAGAATTAAGGTGATGGATATAAAGAGCTGAAAAGTGTACAGCAGATAGATATTCCATGAAATATTGGTAGCCATTATTTCTAAAGCCTCCAAGGGGACTTCCTTGGTGTTCCAGTGGTTAAGAATCTGCCTGCCAATGCAGGGGACATGGGCTCGATCCCTGGTCCGGGAAGATTCCCTGTGCTAACGGGCAACTAAGCCCATTCACCACAACTACTGAAGCCCCCATGACCTTGAGCCCATGCTCTGCAACCAAAGTAGCCCTCCTTGGCCACTGGCCAGGACTAGAGAAAACCCACACACAGCAAGGAAGACCCGGTGCAGACCAAAAAAAAAAAAAAAAGCCTCGGAGAGTTGAGTGCCCTTTCCTTTGGAATTCCTCCCTTCCACATTACACACAGGACTTGGAATCATTAGGTGGGTGGGTGAAGGGGGCCATCTCCTCTAAACAGGATCCTGGCAAGGGCAGAAGGAGGCATGAGCCAAGTCCTAAGGGTTTATTTCTTTGGCACAAAGAGGACAGTCTGGACAAGCAAGACTCATCTTCACCCTGGGGAATCTGGAGGGGATGTTTTCGGGCACTTGTACCCTGTTCCCCATCCTCAAATCCGTGCATGTCCACCCTGTATTCCGTATAAGTCTCGGCCTCTGTGCAAAATACCCGCTGAAAAAAATAGAGATATTTTAAAAAACAAAAATCCTGGGCTGGGGGTGGGTTCATGTCTGGCTGTCTTCGGAGGATGCATTCAGTTGGAGGCCCAGGAATACTCCTGGAATGTCTTTCAAATGCTCAAAGTCCCAGAAGGTTTGCGCTAGGGCTCCGAGGGAGGGGCCCTGGTCCTGAGTTTCTGGACCCCTCAAAGCTCGATGGTGTCACTGGAGGCGCTGCGCGAGTCTCCCGTCTTGCAGCGAGGCTGGACCCCATTCTGGGGCTCCCCAGACCGCGCAGGAGCCAGGGCAGGAGCTGGGGTAGACAGTAGCTGCACTGTGCTGGGCAGCTCATCCAGAGGCAGACTATCCACCGACGACAGCCCGTGACGCCACGGGTTCCAGCTGATCTTGAGCGAGCCCCGGGAGAAGCTGTCCACGGAGCTGCCGGAAGCTGCCGCGTCAACTTCGTCCACCACGTGTGGCGGGACCGGGCCGCGCATGCGCACGTCGCTGAGCGACCGGCTTCGACCTCGGAGGAGCGAAGAACCCAAGCCGTCGAGCTCCGCGTCGGGGTGGCTGCCCCGGCGCGACCGCAGCGCGCCCCCGGGCGGCGGGGAGGCCAGGCAGCGGAGGCCGCAGCGTCGGAAGACGCTGTCTTGCACCAAGTGCTCCCGGAAGAGCGCGGCATCGATGCTGCGGCTCAGGTTGATGGGTGATGGCGGCCGCAGGTCCAGCTCGCTTATCGATGGCGCCGGCCCCACGCTGCTGCGGGACAGTCCGGGGCCACCCTGGGGACCGCGGCTCAGTGACGCAGCCGAACCCCAGGCGCCGGAGCTGGGCGTGGCTGGAGGCCCACCCTCCGCCGGATTGCGGATGAGGCTCTTGCTGATGTCCAGGGTACCTGCGCTGACGCCACTGGGCCCCGCGTAGCAGTTGTTGGGCCGCTCCGGCACCTCGCTCTTGCTAGAGGGCGTGGGGCACGCCAGGCGCAGCAGCTTAGCCCAGCAAGCGTGCTCTGTGGGCGGCCTGGGCCGCGCGGAGGCCAGAGCGGCCAGCGCCAGGGTGAGTGCCCATGTCAGCTCCAGTAGGCGCAGCCAGAAGTGGACGCCCCACCAAGCCCACGAGAAGCGGCCCACCCGGCCCGGGCCCGGGTACAACCAGAGCGCCGCCGCCAGCTGCAAGCCGCTGGCCAGCAGCCCCAGCGCGCCGGCCACGGCCAGCAGCCTGGGGCCCGGGCTGGCATCCCAGCCCCTCGGCCCGTCCAACAGGCGGCGACGGCACAGACAGAGAGTGCCCAGAGCCACGGCCGCGCCCCAGGCGCACGATAAACCCTGGGCCAGGAGGTTGAGCGCAGGCCTCGCCGACAGCAGGTCTGTGGCGAGCAGCCCCAAGCCGTGCGCCAACGCCAGCGCTCCCAGGAGGAGCGGGTTCTGCAGCTGCTGTGGCAGGCCCACGCCCAGACCCAGCAAGGTCAGGGCCGCCAGCGCGGTGAGTAGCAAGGGGAAGGGCAGATTGTAGAGCACCAGGCCGGCGCGCAAACCCAGCCGTGCCTGCGAGCCATACGGGTCGGTGAGCATGTAGGCGGACCGAAGCCCCGCCGCTACCAGTACCAGCACCGCCGCTACCAGCGCCAGCCGGGGCCCAGCAGGGGCGGCTGCCAGCGACGCCAGTGCCAACAACGCGGGCAGCAGGAAGAGCACCCCCACCCCGTAAACGTGCAGCTCCCAGGAAAAGCTCAGCACCCGTCGCAGGGGACCCCAGCGCAGAGGGGGTGCCGTGGCGTTAGCTGGGGGGCTGGAGGCAGGGACTGATGCCGTGGAGCTGGCTGAGGGCTCCGGAGGGGGTGGCTGGCCCAGGGCGCGCTGCGTGGTGACCCGAATGAGGCCCCGGCGAGACGTCGAGGGGGCCTGGACAGGGGGTGCTGGGGGATGGCTTTGGGGGCGCCCCGGCCACTCCTCGGCTTCATCTGCAATAATAACAATATTAAAGTGGCCCTTTGAAAAGTGCTTTTGATTCCCCATCATGCTCTGGTGTGGTGAACAAGTTCTATAACTTTGCCAAGCACATCTGTAAAATGGGGATAGTTAACAGCACCCCCCACCTTGGGTTGCGATGAGGATTAAACATTTAGCATCGCCCCCAATACCCACTAAGGGTTAAATGGATGTGTCCTGTCATTTTTATTGACATAACAGCAGTTCTCAATAGGGGCTGCATATTAGAATCACCTGGAGATCAACTCAATCAGAATTCCTCTCGTTGGGGCCTGGGTTTTGGAATTTTTTCAAAGCTCCTCCAGTGAATTATGGGAGTTGGAGAATCTCTTGCACTAAATAAACCCATGTTAATTTAATTTAAGACTTTGCTAGTCCCCAGAATGCAAATGACTTCTCCCGGAGTACCCAGTGAGTAGAAGTTTATTATCCTAAGTTGTTTGAAGCTGTTGGTCAGTTCCTTTAAGGAGGTATTCATCCCCACTCATTCCCCACCCCTCCCCTATATGCGTCACACAGGTTCTTTTATTCCAGAGTACCCGCTCTCGCCAACCCCCCAGCCATGCCCTCACCTGGCTTCAGGGATCCCACAGGGCTTTCTGTTCGGTTTGCAGTTGGGCCAAGGTCCAGGGGGCCAGGGATGAGGGACTTGGGGGTACCTGGGGCCTCCACTGCACCTCTCACCCGCTGAGGGGAGATGGGATCTGCTCCATTCACTGCTGCCAACTCTGAAATTGAAAAAAGCAGTCATCGCTTTGCCTGACCCTCCAGCGTTTCCCCAAATCTAATCCTCCAGGAGAGAGGCATGATCACCCTCCTTGGCCAGAATGAGGTAAATGGGACCGAGAGGGACCAGAGGTCACACAGAAACGGGGACATCCAGTTGCCCTGGAACACTGCCCCTCCCAGCCCTGATCAGCACCCTCACTTTGATACCCACCTGGCTTGGGCTGCCCATCAGAAGTCTCTGAGACTGGAGGATCAGATGGCTGAGGTCCTGGTGAGCCCCTGACATCAGGGAGGTGAGCCTGTTTGGGGGAGGGACTTGAAAAACTGACTTCCCAGGCCTCCCCACCTCCAGCCATCTTGGGCAGCTCCATGGACTGCTCCTCAGCAGGAGGAAGGCTTCTGGCCAGTGCCAGGTCTGGCTGGGACTCAGGCTCCTGAGAGGATGCCCCCTCAGCTGGTGATACTGAGCCAGTATCAGGGGCTGCTGGACCCTGTTGGGTGGAGAGGGGGCCTTGAGCTGCCTCCTGGAAGTCCTCTTCACCCCCACCCTGTTCTTCCAGCCCTGGCCTCGCCACAGTATCCGGGTGGGGCGCAAGAGTTGGGGAAGGGCCCTTGTGGTCCCAGGGAAACGTCTCTGAGACCCTGGTCTTGCCTTTGGCTGACAGACCGTCATCTCTAGGTGGTAGCTGTCCCACTTGGCCTCCAGGTTCCCCCGACGTGGGAGGAACTGTGGCTAGCCGGAGTTGGAGTCTGGGAGTCGTGGGAAAGAAAGGGAGGTGGGGGGGCCCCAGTGGATAGGGGATTGGTGCTTCCTGCTCCATAGGCTCCTGTGAGTCAGGAGGTCCTGTCCAGCCCTGAGAAATTGGCCCTCGAGCCACCTGGAGGTCGTCGGTCACCGGGAGCCCTTCCCTCTGAGCCCCGTGGGCCGCTTTAGGTCCATGCAGGGCTGGGCCAAGGGGGTCTTCCGGCCTCTCTGGCATCTCCTCGGCAGGGACCTGGTCGACACTGGTGTTCCAGGGGCTCTCGTCTCGGGGCTTCTCCCCGAAGAAGTTGAAGGCCCGACGCTCCATGTCAAGAGGGCCCTTGTCATGGGCTCCAAGGGTCAAGTGTGGTTCTGAGTCCTCAAGGGGTCTGGGGAGGCCCCAGCCCAGGGCAGGGCTGGTCCCCAGGGACAGCAGGGGCAACAGCAGCAGGAGGCCATCCATGCAGCCCCAGGGGCTGGGGGCCATGCTCCACGCTGATGTCTGGGCCTCGAGCCCTCTGCTTCCGGTCCTTAGCGGATGAGCCTGAAGAAAGGAGAGAGGGATGGCGCTTGAGGGTGGGGTCTCCCACGGCTACCCCAAGGGGGCTGGTGGGAAAGAAGCAGCTCCCTCCTCTGCCCGTTCCCTCCTGTTCAGCCTCTGCATGCTACCAGGAGTCCTTTTGACACTACCTCTCTGGTCATGCCACTTGCCGAACTGCAGAACCTTCGATGGTTCCCCATCGCCCTCAGGAGAGAATATAAGGTCCTCTCCTGGCCCCCCAAGGCCACACCAGGCTGCTCACCCATCCCTCAGGACCCACAGAACTGCCTGACACTCCACGCCTTCGATACTGCTCTTCCCTCAGGCTGGAATGCCGTCTCCCTTCTCCTTCACTTGCTGAAATCCTTTACATATGAATATATATATTTTAAATCCTATTCTTGAAGGCCCAGCTCAAAAATTACAGAAGTGGAGAGGGAGAGGAATACGCCCCTGCCTTTGAGGAGGGACCTGGGTTTGAATCCCAGCTTCACCAGTTTCTGGGTGACTTACTTTTCCCCTCCGCATCATGGTTTTCCCATCCGTAAAGTGGGTATAATAATAGTACCTAACTCCAAGGGCCTCTTATAAGTCATGACAAAACACACGATGGGCCAGGCCCATAAATGGAGCTGAGTAAGCATTAGGGCCCTCTGACTTTTCCTTTTGTCCAGAAAGCTTTCTTTCTCACCAACCCTCTAACCATGTCAACAAATAATTGGAGCACATACTGTGTGCCAAGCCTGGGGGATAAAGCAGTGAACAAGACTGGCAAGATCCCTGCCCTCACGGAGCTGGTGTTCTGAGTGAAAGACAGGCAATGAATACTTTTAAATAAGGTGGGCTGTGGAGAACATAAAACAGGGGTAAGGAATAGAAGACTGGGGGACGGCTTTACACAGGAGCGCAAGAAAGGCCACTCAGGTGACATTTGAGCTAAATACAGAACAGGAAGGAGGAGTCATCCATTAGATATGTCCAGAAAAAGCATTTGCTGGAGGAAACAGAAAGTGCAAAGGCCCTTCGCAGGAGAAAGGAGCAGAGAGAGATGAAATCAGGGAAGCAGGGCTTTCTCAAAAGCCACAGAAAGGCACCTGGATTTTATTCTCAGTGTCCCACCTAGGAAGCCAAGGGAGATGACAAGCATAGAAGTTACAATGGAGATCTGAGAAGTGTTTTAAAAGGGGGAGAGATGCCAGTGCAGAAATCCAGGTAGGATATGACAGTGGCTTGTTTCAGCTTGAGTATTTCTTTCCCCGACACCTCCACCCCTTCCCGTCACACCGGTCACATAGTATAGTAATCTCCTGTCTCCCCCACCCGCCTGGGGCTTCTCAAGGGCTGTGTATTTCATTTCTCATCTCCAGTCACTGCATATGCCTAGCCCAAGTATATTCCCTTAGAGTTCCCCTTCCTGAGAGTCCCTAATGTAGGCAGGAGGCAGGGAGGGACCCCACAGCCAGGAGAGGGGGACAGCGGCTGTGAGAGCCAGTGCCTGGGTGAGTTTAAGGGCAGAGACCCTGTTGGATTCCTCTCTGGGGACCACTTGTGCTCCAAGCTCCCAGCTTCCTAATTCTTGGTGGTTCACAGACACCTTGAGAAGCTGAAGAAAATGCCAGGTGGTCTCCTCAGGGAAATGTCCAGGCTCACCAAAGCTTGTGGGTAATTTTGGGGGGAATCAAAGACCCCTTAAACCCATCCCCCAAACTGAGTTTAGTTTCTGCCTCGTTAGTTCTTCTCAAACATGCACCGAGCCCATGCTCTGCTCCTGGTCCAGGCTAGGTGCTGGGGACCCAAAGAGAAGGCTCAATTGCAGTGTCCAGAGTGGGATCGAGCTGAGGGGGAAGAACTGGAAGGCCACGGACACAGGCGCTGGTTAATAACAGTTCTCCTTTGTCGAGCTAGTCCCCACTCAGGCTCCTGTGCTAAGCTTAGCTGCATGTCCTCGATTTCATCCACCCCTCCCGACACAAGCAGGTGTGGGTATATCCATTTCATAGGGGAAAAAAAAGCAAGGTTCAGAGAGGTTGAGCAACTCAGCCAAGGTCACACAGGCTGCCAATGGCTATAGTAGGGGCTGTGAAACCCGCACTGGCTCAGTTTACCCAGGGGGTCCGAGAAGATTTGCAGAGGAGGAGGCAGGAGAGTTGGGCCTTCGATGATAAACATGTGCCATCTGCTCACCACCCCCGATCCAAGAGATGTAGTCATCTCCGGATGAGCAGGGGGCTGCCCAGCTCTGGGCTCCAGCTGCTGAAGAGATGAAAAGATTTGTTTTTTTTTTTTTTTTTTTTTCAGTGGGGAGGGTGTTCTCCTACCTCAGGGACTGGGGAGAGGCCGTCCCGGGGGTAGGATGCGGGCCGCCGCAGGGCAGCCTCAGGAGCCGGTCCATCTCGGGTTACCTCTCCTTTTCCTCCATCTCCTCTCCCTGGCTCCGCGCCTTCCCGCAGTGTCCTGGGTGGGGGTAGGCGCTAGTGCAGACCCTGCCGCTAGCACCTGAGAGGGGGGCTGCAGGCCATGCTCCCTGCCGAAGCCCCTCCACTGCCCCCCCGAGTCCAGCTCCTCACCTGGGCGCCAAGCTGGCAGCCCCCGCGTTCACCTTGCGCGCGTCCCTGAAGCTGCGCTCCACGCCGCATCCTCCGAGATGCTCAGACTTGGCTAACAGAGCCCGGCGCTGCCGATCGGGGAGCCCGCCCACAGGAGTGCCGTCCCAGCTTAACCCTTTCCCCTTGGCGGTGGATTCTTCTCCCAGTCCTAAGCTCCCCTCTCTGAGAGATTCTCAGGGCTAAGTAGAGAAGTGAGGTAACCTTGGAGGGATGTGGAAATCACTTCCGCAGCATCCCTGAAAACGGGGCAGTCAGTGTCTGTTTGCATACCTCCTGGGACGGGGAGCTCACTCCCTCTCTCTCTCTAGATCTATGTCCTTATAGGGATACATACACACTAGGGACCTCCTACAGGTAAATCCCACCTACAGCTTGATGTACACCCTTCAGCTTTTTGAAGGCACAACCACATACACATTTTAAATAGAAATGAGATCATACTGTACATATTGTTCTGTAACTCGCCTTCTCCTTCACTTCCCAATATATCCTGGCATATTTAGCATGTACATTTCTACAGCTCCATCTCATTTCTTGTATTCAGCATGGAGAATTGCAGCATATGATCAGCCTGTCATTTTTACTTAGCTAGTTCGTGAAGTCGGACATGTAGGTTGTTCCTAGCTATTTGTTAGCAAGAATAACAAGGCGCCAGCATTCCTGTACAGACATCTTTGTGCACGTACACTGGTGTACCTATCTTAATTTTCTGCTTGAGGCGTGGGTAGGTCACGGTCTCTGCACATTTTCAGGTAGGTCTGTCAGAATGCTCCAGGTCCCTCTTTGGACAGTTCCTGATGTATCAAATGGCCACCATAAGGCTCAGCACATTAAGGAAGATCCACACAAGGAATACATGTGGTCATTAAATATGATGTGGGATCTTTAATGGCATGGAGACATGTCGAGAGTAGATTGTTGTTTATTTATTTAAATCGCAGTCATTTGAGTTATAATATATGCTGAAATTATCCCAATTCAAGCAACATAGAAATGTTCAAAGAATACAGGAACTGTCTTACCCTTGGTCTCTCCAGCTCTGCCCCCCGCAGATGTACCCACCATTAACATTATACTGTTTTCTTTGCATCATATAAAAATATATAAGCACATGCATTTCTACAAAAATGGGATCATACTATGCATATTATTCCATAACCTTGTTTTGTTTTAAGCAGATATATGTTGGAAACATTTTGAAGGCAATACATACTAGCTCTGTCCTTTCTTTTAATTAGCTGTACAGTTTTGCATGGTGTGGATGTTCTGTTAGTTTGTCAGACAGTCCCAGTATTCCCCTACTGATGAGTAATCAGGTGATTAACAGCTTTTTTCCCCCTAGAAACAATACTGCAATAAGCATCCTTACATACTAATATATACATTATTATATGTTGATACTCTCATTTCTCTCAGATAATTATTTGTATGATCCCATTTTTGTTAATACCCATCAATCAGTCCATCACCTATTCTATCCCTAAATATTAGAAGGTAGAGAGTGATTGATGTTGTGTGTGTGTGCTCAGTTGTGTCCCTTTGCCCCATGGACTGTAGCCCGCCAGGCTCCTCTGTCCATGGGATTTCCCAGGCAAGAATACTGGAGTGGGTTGCCGTTTCCTTCTCCAGAGGATCTTCCCAACCCAGGAATTGAACCTGCATCTCCTGCATTGGCAGGCAGATTCTTTACCACTGTGCCAACTGGGTTACCAGGACATGACTGAGAGACTGAGCCCTCATGCAGATAGTGGTTGATATAATTTTTATCTAATTTTGCTTTTCTGTTTACCAGTCTTTTATACAACCATGTATTTCTTTTGTAATCAGAGGTAAGAATGATAGTATCATTTTAAAAAGAAAGAAAATCCTTCCTAGGGTTGAGCTGAAGTATCTCTGCCAGTGCTTTCCTATCTGTAGCTCTCACAGAAAACCAATCCTCAGCCCTTATTGTGTCTGACATGCTGTAGTGTAAAGAGTGGTCAGTCTCTAGTAGCTGGTAAACAGCGGAGCCTGAATCTAGCTTTTCTGACTCTGGGGGAGAGTTCAGGCTTTTCCCATTTTACCATATCATCTGACCAGCTTTACTATTTTTTCTTGTGGGAACCTCTTCAGGATTGTAAAGTCATCTGTTATTTCTCTAGAATTTTCTTCTTCCAGGCCAAACCCTTCCAGTTGCCTTAGCCTTTCCTTGAAGGACAGGGTTCTGAGATCTCACCATGGTGATGTCTCTCCTCTGTTTCTGTCTTACCAGGTCAACAACATTCTCTTTGAAGTGTGACTCTTGGAACTGAGAGAATAAAACTGAATGTTCACCTCCCCTTTCCTCGAGTCTACTCCTCTATTAATATGACCCCACCTATTAATATGCTGAAGTAGTGTTTCTGGCAGCCACATCACTTTATTCTCAATATTGACTGGGTCTTCCCCATCTCATTGTGTGCAGTTGGTTTCTTTTTTCTTCTCTTGGACGTATCCCATGGCATGTGGGATCTTAGCTCTCCGCCCAGGGATGGAACCTGTACCCCCTGCAGTAGAAGTGCAGTCTTAACCACTGGGCCACCAGGGAAATCCCCACAGTTAATGTTTTGATCCTCATTAGAGGATTCTATATTTGTTATTTATCTTATCTTGTTCGGTCTAGTCAGTCGTTCTGATCTTGTGGGAAATTATCTAGATCCTGTTTCTACATATAACAGATAGTTGGCATTTTTTGGCATTGTCCAAGATCTCTCTCCTGACAGCATCCTAATTTCCTTTGAGGGACCTCTGTCTTTTCCCCTGTGGGCAGTCTTGGTGGGAGGGCAGTTCTAGGGGCCCGTTACGGAAGCTGTGGGATCCAGGTCCCTCCATTCAGTGCCTTCTGGGAAAACTCACTGATGAGTCTCCTTTGGAAATGTCAAGATTCCCTCAGCAGGTTCGGGGCTGGCTTGGTTCCTTTCCTCAGTTTCCTCCAAGGAGGGCAGGGTTTGTGTGCTTGGACCCCAATTCATGCCCCTGCAGAGTCTCACTGGCTTGGCAGCGCCCCAACCCCCAATTCCCTCGGAATCATCAAGCTGCTGCTCCCCAGCTCTGGAGCCCCAATCCCATTGTGTTTCCAAACTGTGGATTGGTAGGGACTTTGAGATTCCAGACAAAAGCAAGGAGATTATGATCCCTTTGGCCAGAACCCATGATGAAAGCTGATCCAAAGGAAAGAGGAGACTGGCTAGCAGTGGAGGTGAATGTTAAGTGGGGAACATGGGGTGCCAGTTATAGGTGGGGAGTATTCTGGCTGTAAAAAAAGTTCCTTGCCTCATCCTGGAGCGTCTGGGACAGCAAGGATGGGTGGGGGGTGATTCCAAGCATAGCATACGGGGTATGGTCAATAGCTTTGTTATCAAGCTCTTGGTCTGCCAGGAGCTGTGCTACACACCTTACATGCATGATTCTTTCTAAGTCCTGACAACCACCCTGAAATACCACCTTGTTTTTCCAGTTAGGTTTTGTAAAAAAAAAAATATGTGTTTATTTCTGGCCGTGCTGGGTCTTTGTTGCTGCACAGTCTCATTCTAGTTGCGGTGAGCAGGGGCTCCCAGTTGTGACGCACAGGCTTCTCAGGGCAGTGCCTTCTCTTGTTGCGAAACACAGGCTCCAGGGCGCATGAGCTTCGGCAGGTGCACCACGTGGGCTCAGAAGTTCTGGCACACAGGCCCTGTTGCCTCGCAGCATGTGGAATCTTGCCGCATCAGGGATCAAACCTGCATTGGCAGGTGAATTCTTAATCCTGGACCACTAGAGAAGTCCCCTAACCCTATACTATTATTATTAATTTACTTTTAATTGGAGAACAATTGCTTTATAATATTGTGTTGGTTTCTGCTGTATATCAACATGAATCGGTCATAGGCATACATATGTCCCCTCTCTCTTGAACCTCCCTCCCACCCCATCCCACCCCTCTAGGTTGTCACAGAGCACCGGTTTGAGCTTCCTGACTCAGACAGCGAGTTCCCACTGGCTATTTTATATATGGTAATACACGTGTTTCCATGCTACCTTCTCGATTTGTCCCAGCTTCTCCTTCCCCCACTGTGCCCACAAGCCTGTTCTCTGCCAACAACTTGATATATTTTTATGCTTTCCATTTTACAGCCAGCAAGCTCAGGCTCAGGGAGGTTATGTAATTTGTCCAAGGTCACACAGCAAATGAAAAGCCAAACCATAAGAGCCAGTGATCTTAAGAGTGATGACACTACCCTGCCCCTCTGGAAGAATCGCAGAGAGAGAAGGAGAGATGAAAACCCCAGGCTTTCCCGGTGGCACTTACTGTGCTAGGAGTTTGAATCTGAAAATAGGCCTCCAGTGCTCGCTTCGGCAGCACATATACTAAAATTAAAAACAGGCCTCCAACTGGGATCTCCGAGGAAAGGAGAGCCAACCACCAGCTTTGGGAATTTTTGAGAGCTCCTACCCCAGAGTACCTTGGAAGCTCCCAGCGAAGGGGAGAGAGAATAAAAAGGCAAAGCCATGGTGAAATCTCCTGCTTGGACAGGACACTTGGCTGGCATTTCTCTTTTGGTGAGTCACTATGGTGGGAAAGAGCAGGGAAACAAAAGGCAGCTTGGGAGTGGGACTGGGGGAGATGGTGCCGTCTGGCAGACTTTGTTCTCGGCCACTGTCTTTAGCTCTGAGGGCAGGAACAGTCACACTCCCACATTGAGCCTCAAGGGTTCCTGGAATCTTAATTCACTCTTTCTCAGATTTTAGCCTCCATGGATACCAGCTAAATGAACCCTATTTAAATATATATATATTTTTAATTAATAAGTCTGATGATCCAGTACACACTGTAAAAATCAACTGTCCTTTATTTTATTCCCTCTCACTCCCAATTCTTTTCAACTCTTTCTGGTAGTTCTGATTATTTCTTTGGTTTTTATATGTATTTTCTAATTGTCAGACTTATATTGCTAATTTTTTTTTCAGCTTTAGGTTTTACCTCTTGACTACTACAAAGGAACATGAAGATTTAGCTTTTATATTGCCTTCCACATTTTCCTGTGCCGCTTTTGTTTATATCATCAATCTGCATTTACAATAGTCCAACTGTGAAACAAATTATCCAAGCTGAATCAGGAGTGTGCTATGATTATAATTTGTTTGCTAGATGTTCTGCTTTTCCTGGGGTAAGTGTGGCTTGGGTTTTTATTTACTTAATTGTCTATGCATCTGTCACTAATTCATTCCCCATAATCTTTCCTTGAAGTGAAAAACAATCTGAAGATTTGGTCTCCCATTCCAGGTGAGAATACTTTCAAAAAGGCTTACAGACTTCTATAACAAATACGTAGTTTCTTCAACAAATTAACAGCTTGAAAAAACCAGGGGGAAGGGAAAATGTTATAAAAGACTTGAGTCTTTGCAGTCAAATGCCATGTGCGAGGTCCTCGTTGGGATCCTCATCCAGACAAAGCAAAGACACAAAGGTGTTGGAAGATAATTGGGTAATTTGAACATTGATTGGGCCTTAGCATGGACTAAACAATAAACCTGTTTGGACTCGGTGAATAATGGTATTATGGGTTATGTTTGACCATTTCTTCATCTGTTAGAGCTACTTACTAAAATGTTTTTGTGTGAGACGGTATCGTGTCTAACATTTACCGTTGAAACACTCCAGGAAAAAAAAATGCGTTTGGAAGATACATGAAAGGTTGACAAAACATTGATTATTATTCATTATCAGTGAAGGGAGATGGGTATGTCCTTATACTATCCTCTCCACTCTTGTGTCTGGTTGAAATTTTTCATAGTAAAAAGTTTAAAACAAAAAAGAAATTCACAAAGAAATGGAAGAAAGGAAAAGACTGCACAGGGCTGCCTGTACAATTGGTGAACTGGTTGTAGAAATAAAACCTTTTACATATTGAGTACTAGCCCGTTTTGTGTCTAGTATGCATTTTGGGTTTAGTACACGGATATAGAACTCGGGTTTCTGAAGCCCGCTGACCTTCCCAGGCTCCTCCAGAGCCCGGGAGATGGGGACAGTGGGACCAGGGTGAGTACAGGGTCAGGAGGGCTGCCAGCGCTGACGTTAAAGCGCAGGAGAGGCCTAGGGACAAGCTGGCAGGCCCCTGACACCCCTCTGCACCCAGCATTCTCAGATGTCGCCTCCATGCTGTCCTCATACATCCTGGATGGTCTCCAAGAGCCCCTCGTATCCATGACCTTGAGAGATCTTGATGTCAACAGCCAAGGGTTTACCCTCACCTAATAGGATGTAATTCACCTATTTAAGGTGTTCTATTCAGTGGTTTTTATTATAGTCACAAGGTTGTGTAACTATCACAAGTACAAAACATTTTATCATTACCTTTTATTACTGAAGTACAGTTGATTTACAACGTGGAATTAGTTTCAGGTGTGAAGCACAGTGATTCAGTTATATACAGGACTGCAGGTTTGGTTGATGGCTATTTGGGTTGTTTCCACTTTGTGGCAGTTAGGAATAATGCTACTGTGTTTGTGTACAAGTTTTTGTGTGGACATATATGTACTCCTTTCTCTTGGGCTGTGTCTAGGAGTGGAACTGCTGGGTCATACGGAAACTTTGAGCTTTAGAGGAACTGCCAGACTGTTTTCCACAGTGGCTGCAGCTCTGGGCTGGGAAAGGAATGGATGGGGCAGAAGGGGAGAGTAACAGGGTGGTGAGTGGGGAGACAGGCCCAGAGAGGGGAAGTGCCTTACACACAGCCACACTGAGGCAGAGCGAGAAAAGGGGGGCTAATCATCGTGACGGCCTCAACTCTACCCCAGCAGCAGGTCCCTTCCTACCAGTCCCTCCCAAAGGTTCCTGAAGTAACATCAGGACCAAGTACTTGTCTGAGGGGTGACTTAGAAGCTCTCTGCCATCTGGCCTTGCCTCTGCCTCATCGCATCATGTCTTTTTTGTGTATTTTTTTATTTGGCTGCATTGGGTCCTACCTGCAGCACACGGGATCTTTAGTTGAGGCGTGTACTGTGGCATGTGGGATCTAGTTCCCTGACCAAGGATCGAAACTGGCCCCCCCTGCATTGGGAGCATAGAGTCTTAGCCACTGGACCACCAGGGAATTCCCAGGGGTGCTTTTCACTGTGGTTACGAAGCTGGTGTCTCTGTGAGAAGACAAACTGCCTGAGAATAGAAAAAGCAGACTTGAGAAAGCAACCAAATCTGGATGATATCACTTGAGGCCCTGGCTCCAGTTACACTTAAGTAACTGACCACTGGGCATTTTAGTTATTGAACCAATTTACATTAAGGAAAAAAAAGAAAACTGCTTAAGCCAGACTGAGTTCTGTCAGTTGCCACTGCACTATTCCTCACAGGGTAATCCCCCATGTCTCCTGCATATACCCCTGCCCACCGGGCTCCTCAGACCATACAGGGGAACCACGCTGGCTTTTGCCTCTAAGCACAGGTTTACCTGCTGTCCTCCAATCTAAGTCATTACTATTTTTCTGAGTTGTGTTTTGCCACTGTCGATCTTTAATCTTCCATGCAAGGTGCCTTTCATACCACCATTATCAATAAGTGGACATTTCACGTTGCTCTAAATGGTTTTGGGTGTTAAGTCCAGGGTGATGGTAAAGGTGGACTGCTCACCTAGCAGTCTGATCCAAATTAAACCCCAAGAAGCAGACGTAATAAGCAGTGCTCCCTGAACTTGTGTGCTGGTTCTGAGAAGAGCCTGCCAAGGTAAACTTGGCTTTTCCCTTTGACTTGCTGTAGAGCTGGGGCCAAGGACATACACATTTACCACCACGATGAGTGAGAACAATCTCACACATTTTACCCACCCAACTTCACTACAGGGAAAAGGACAGACTGGGTCAAGAGGCAGACCGAGGACACGCTGTAGGAAAGGGGGTCCTCCCCTCAGTCCCCGCACTGTCTCCATTCCTGCCCGATTCAGACCTTTCTGTATATACCATACCACTCCCCACTTCGTCAGGAAGCAGTGGACTGTAGACATTTTCATCTGCGGGCTTTGGCTGGTTCCCTTCCCTTTGCTTGGGATGCCTTTCTACACTGCAGAACTCTTTCAAGACCCAGAGCAAAGGTTAGCTCCCCTGGGAATCTTTGCTCCTTTAATATTTTAACAACTGTTTTAAATATTAGCAGCTCCTAACCTTGGGTCAGCGTGTCACTATGGATAGGCTTTAAAGGGTCTATCAGTGCTCCTGGGGTTACCCTAGAGGTCTATGCTTCCATCAGATTCTCAAAGAGATACTGTGACCCAACGAATAATTAAGAACCACCGATTTTTCATGTGTCTCTCTTATGAGTTCCTGAGGACAAGAGTCCCATTTTTTCCATTTTAGACTCTCCAGCACTGGTCCACAATACATACTCATAACTGTTGGCAGAAGGCTGTGAGTGACCCAGAGGTAATGTTTGTACAGGCAAAGACAAAAAGACAGGATGATTTAATTTGTAGAGTTGAGTTGTTTGTTCCTGATTACAACGTTCAACGTGCAGATTACATTCACCTCTTGGTACAGAGAAGGCCCTCTGCTACCTCCCTGGGACAGTTAATCCAGACAGAATTATTCCTGGGCAACCCTTACCTCTGTGTCTGCCAGCAATCACCCTCTCTCCCTTCTTACAACCACATGTAAGCTCTCTCTCATCCAGAATAACTCGGACATGGGGTCTTTCATTCAGTGGAGTAGCCATGTATAGTACAGCTCTACTGATTTAACAGTGGATTTAATATATTATGAATTCCAGATGAAGATTTCACATTACTTAACTGCTGAAGTCTTTGAGGATCCCAAAGGCATTTGAGGATCTGGCAGTGTCTCAGGGTCACCAATTTTTACTTGATAGTATTAAGACAGAGAAGTATTAAGACAGAGAGAAGGTTTGCTAAGTCTGTCCTGGCCCTGGGTATTTACTCTGGAAAAGAGCTTGAGTCAGGTTTTGACACATTTGCTTTTCATGTCAGTTGCAGGCACAAAATGAACAACACAGAAAGTTTCATTTTGTTTATCCATTGGTCCTAAATTTTCAACAATGAAAATGTATTATTTGTGAAAGGGAAGTTATACAAATACTAAGAAAAAATTTAAGGTGAAATGCAGGGTGTTTGGATTCCAAGAAAACAGGAGTTTACTGAGGTTTAAGTGTCAGAATGACTGCACGTAATAATTAGGTTTAATTGACAATGCTTTTTCCATAGACTGAATTTTTGCCATTTTTTAATATTATCATTAGCTTGAGTGTCCCCCCTTTCTCTTACTTTTATTACTAGAGTCACCAGAAGGAACATTTAAAATATTTAAAAAATAGCTGTTTCTGGGCAAGTCACCCAGCATACACTCCTCATGTTTCCTCTGGGTTCAAACATGAAGGGGATCCCACCTCAGACAAGAACAATCTTTGCTGCACCCCCGCCAGCTCATGCACCCCTCTTTTCATTCCAAAAGGCTCCAGCTCAAACGAAAGTTATAAGGTTAAGCGCTACTCCAAGTTCCAGACACAGCTAGCCCCTGCTTGGTCTTCAAAAAATCGAGGTCTGTAATTCCTTTTTGAACATGCCTTCGAAATGGAGGTCTTTGGCCATGAGCTCCTCTTCGACGTCATCCAGTGCCCACTGGTGATCCGTCAGCTCCAGAGCTTCCCACTCTGTCTGCAAAGGACGAGAGACACGGGGGCGGGGAGACAGGGCTGTTACGGGAGCAGTGCTGATGTGCTCAGGCCTGGAGCGGGTCCAGCTCTGCACGGGTGACACTCACTCAGTCCTGTGAGGGCGGCGCCGCTGTCCCCTCGCCCGCCCCGCCCCTAAGTTACAGACAGGAGACCAGGCCAAGGAAGACACAACCTGCTCGGGTCCCTGGAGCTGGCAACTAATGACATTTCTCAGGCATTCTATTAATGCTGACTACTTCTGCCTTTAATTAGTAGGTCTTTAAAAATGCTCTACGAAACTTAATGTGCGATATATATGTTAGCTCACAGGTATGGGTTTTTAAAAACAATAACTTACACAACCCATTCCTTCAATGTGTGCACTTCAGTGGCTTTTCGTATATTCACAGAGGTGCAACCACCACTGCTAGGTAGTTCCAGAACACTTCTGTCACGGCAGACTCACTCTGTATCAAACAGCGACACTCCCATTATCCCCGCCCCCAGCCCCTGGCAACTGCTACTTCATTTTCTGAGTCTTGTCATCTTTTCTGGATGCAGTATGTGGCCTTTTGTCACTGGTTTCTTTCACTTAACATTTAAAAAAATTTTCTTTTGTTGAAGTATACTTGATCTACAGTGTTGTCTTGGTTTCTGCCATACTGCAAAGTGATTCAGTTATACATATACATTTAGCTTTTTCATCCTTTTCCATTATGATTTATTACAGGATATTGGTTATAGTTCCCTTCTCCTAGCATGTTTTTAAGGTGCCTCTCTGTTGTGCCATGATTCAGCACTTCATTCTTTTTTATGGCTAATATTCCACTGCATACATTCCATTGTCTAGACATTGCATTATCTGTTCATCAGACGATGGACATTTGGATTGTTTCTAGTTTTGACTATTATCAGTAGTATTCTGAACATTCTTGTACTCAGTTCTTAGGTGAAAATATGTTTTCAGTTCTCTTGGGTGTTTAGCTGAGAGCAGAACTGCTGGGTCATATGGTAAGTGTGTTTAATTTTTTGAGGAAAGACTAAGAACTGTGTTCCAAAGCAGCTGCATAATCACCAGCACATATCACGGTTCCAATGTGTCCACATCCTTGTCAACACTCGTTACTGTCCATCTTTTTTATTATAACCATATGAGTGAGTGTGAAGTGGTATCTCACTGAAGTTTTGTTTGTTTTTCCTCACTGAAGTTCTGATTTGCAAAAACCCCCAATGACTAATGATGTTGGGCATCTTTTCATGTGCTTAGCTTATTGGGTATTTGTTCGTCTTCTTTGGGTAAATGAGCATTCATATCCTTTGCCAACTTTTTACTGGATCATCTTTTTATTGTCGAGTTGAAGAGT